AATTGATTATTCCTTAATTGATTCCAAACCAAATTTGTTGCTTTTTGAAGTCTACTAATCTAAAAGGTCCCTTGAATTCAGCCACATTGGTTACAGTAGGTACACTAGAAAACCAGTTAAAAACATAAGCAACAATGACAGTGTAAAGAGAAAGAACTTATAAACTACTGGTTGAAAAGAATGAGAAATTAGTTCTTAAAATTACCACTTAACAGTAGATTATAACAAGAATCCATATACTCCTCAAGTAATTGTGTCTCTACTATATCAGGACAAAATAAATTGAACACTTTACTTAAATAACTTTTTTCAAATGATGTTAAATATTAAACATGTACATTTCAAAAATTCAGGTGGTACATTTTTATTTAAAATTGTTTATAAATTTGGAATATTGTATATGTGGTCTAAACTATAGCCATAAAAGCTCTCTGTGTAAATTTGATGTAACTACTTTTGAATATTATTATAGAAGCTTGTTTTTACAGTATGGATAATTCATTGACTTCAACTCTTTTTATTTTTTTAAATTTTTATTTATTTTTTAAATTTCTTTTCAGTGTTTCAGAATTCATTGTTTATGCACCACACCCAGTGCTCCATGCAATATGGGCCCTGCTTAATACCCCACCAAGCTCACCCAACTTCCCACCACCTGCCCCTTCAAAACCCTCAGATTGTTTTTCAGAGTCCACAGTCTCTCATGGTTCATCTCCCCCTCCAATTTCCCCCAACTCCCTTCTCCTCTCCATCTCCCCATGTCCCTGTGTTATTACTTATGCTCCACAAATAAGCAAAACCATATGATAATTGACTCTCTCTGCTTGACTTTTTAAAGGGATAGAGTAGCCAAAGCAATCTTGAAAAACGAAAAGCTGGAGGCATCACAATGCCAGACTTCAAGCTATATTATAAAGCTGTAGTCATGAACACAGTATGGTACTGGCCCAAAAACAGGCACATAGATCAATGGAACAGAATAGAAAACCCAGAAATGGACCCATAACTATATGGTCAAATAATCTTCGACAAAATAGGAAAGAATATCCAATGGAAAAAAGACAGTCTCTTCAACAACTGGTGTTGGGAAATTGGACAGCAACATACGGAAGCTGAACCTGGACCACTTTCTTACACCATACATAAAAATAAATTCAAAATGGTTGAAAGACCTAAATGTAAGACAGAAACACATCAAAATCCTAGAAGAGAACACAAGCAGAACATAAGCAGCAACCTCTTTGACCTTGGCCATAGCAGCTTTTTACTAGACAAGTCTCTAGAGGCAAGGGAAATAAAAGCAAAAATGAACTATCTGGAGTACTTCAAGATAAAAAGCTTCTGCACACCAAAGGAAACAGTCAACAAAACTAAAAGGCATCCTACAGAATTGGATAAGATATTTGTAAATGACATCTGATAAAGGGTTAGTATCCAGAATCTCTAAAGAATTTATCAAACCCAGTATCCAAAAAAAAAACCAAATAGTCCAGTTAAGAAATGGGCAGGTGACATGAATAGACATTTTTCCAAAGACATCCAGATGGCTAACAGGCACATGAAAAGACTCTTAGCATCATTCATTATCAGGGAAATACAAATCAAAGCACAATGAGATACCACCTCACACCAGTCAGAATGGCTGAAATTAACAAGTCAGGAAACAACAGATGTTGGAGAGGATGTAGAGAAAGTAGAACCCTCTTGCACTGTTGGTGGGAATGCAAACTGTTGCAGCCACCCTGGAGAACAGTATGGAGGTTCCTCAAAAGTTAAAAATAGAACTACCCTAGATCCAGCAATAAAACTATTTGCATTTACCCAAGGGATACAAAAATGCTGATTCAAAGGGGCACATGCACCCCAAATGTTTATAGCAGCATTATCAACAATAGGCAAATTATAGAAAGAGCCCACATACACCTTGGTGGCTCAGTGGGTTAAGTCTCTGCCTTCGGCTCCGGCCATGATCCCAGCCTCATGGGATCGAGCCCCGCATTGGACTCTCTGCTCAGCGGAGAGCCTGCTTCCCCCCTCTTTCTCTTCCTGCCTCGCTCTCTGCCTACTTGTGATCTCTGTCAAATAAATAAATAAAATCTTAAAAAAAAAAAAAGAAAAAGAAAGAAAGAGCCCACATATCCATCGAAGCATGTATGCAGCTAGAGTGTATTAATTCTAAGCGAAATAAGTAAGTCAGAGAAAAACGAATATGGGTGATTTCACTCATGTGGAATTTAAGAAACAAAACAGATGAACACAGGGAAAGGGGGAAAAAAAAGAGGGAAGCCAACCATAAGAAACTTAACTATAGAGAACAAACTGAAGGTTGATGGAGGGAGATGGGCAGGGGATGGGCTAAATGGGTAATGGACATTAAAGAGGGCACTTGTTGTGATGATTACTGGGTGTTATATGTAAGTGATGAATCACTTAAATCTGCTGAAACCAGTATTACACTGTATGTTAACTAACAAGAATTTAAATAAAAATTTGGAAGAAAGAAAAGGAATGAGAGTAAAGGCCATCAAATGCCAGAGATAGAATTAAATATTCTTCTGTTTATATAGAGGTAGAAAAAAATGAGATATATTGAAGATATGTTTATAACTTTGAGACAAATTTGAAGTAAAAAATGAGAATTCTGTTATCATTACTTTTCACTACTATAAATTCTTCAAGCTGTGTGGTAACCATTTTGAATTATTTAGAAGTAATTGGGGAGTCATTATTTCCTTATTTGTCTGAAACAAAAATAAGAACCAGATATGAGAAATCTGAGGAGTAATGGGAGTATAAAATTTTTCTCATTGAAAAGGAGATAACATGCAACAATACCATTTCTATCATACTATATAGGTAATTTTTCATGATTTCTCATGCTTAATGAGTCTGTTATATATGGTTACATTATAACTTGTCATATCAATTATATGTATTGTGTCTCTCTTTTACTTTTAAAAATCCTGTCTCAGAAACCTAACCACCCAGATTACTATAAACTAATCAAATTCAAGGGGAAAAAATTTCCCAACACTGGGAATTATCTAAAATCACATGATTAGAGTTTACTATTCAGATTTAGTGTTGCTTGATACAAGTTTGACTTACTTTTTGCAAAATGAAATTTCTGTATTCAAAGTGAGAAAGATGTACATGAGAATTTGGGAACCAATTATCTCATCCTGAACAAGAGTGCCTGAAGTTAATGTGTGAAAGAACTGGAAAGTTGTGAATCTATTAATACAGAAGAAATGTATATATTCATTCACAAATTTATGATATTTCAGGAGAGGTATATGTAAACTTTATCTTAAAATTTAAAAACTAGGGTGCCTGGGTGGCTCAGAGGGTTGGGCCTCTGCCTTCGGCTCAGATCATAATCTTGGGGTCCTGGGATCGAGTCCTGCATCAGGCTTTCTGCTCGGCAGGGAGCCTGCTTCCTTCTCTCTCTGCTTCTCTCTCTGCCTGCCTCTCTGCCTACTTGTGATCTCTGTCTGTCAAATAAATAAATAAAATCTTAAATAAATAAATAAACTTAAAATTTAAAAAAAAAATTAAAAACTAGATCCATGTATAACTGTGATAAAAATACAAATTAAATTAGAAAAACAAAAAGATTAATAAATCCATAAAAACTTTAAGCTATCAATTACAAATCAATATTTTCCCTTCTGCAACATGTAAGAGCCAAGTATTTCTGTTTTTCTTGGAATGAACTGACTTCTTTGTAAACTTGCTGTGTGAAATACTGTTTTGTTTTCTAGTTCAGTCATTTTTGACACTTGACAGAGGGTTACTTGTTGAAAGATTTTGTAGTACATTTGCGCCTATATCAGAAAGATACATTTAAATGTTTAAATGTTTTAAACTAAGACTCTAAGTTAAAAGATGAAATAAAATGAATTCTCACACCCTAAAAAATTTTTAATTTTTTAATTTATAAATAAGACAAAGACTTTCTTCCTTCCATCCTTCGTAATATTAACACTCAATGAGAAACCAATCCTTGAAAATGCAAATAGTGCTTATTTTTAATTCAAAAATCTAGGTATACAACTTATTTTTCAATGTATAAATTCAGTGGTTATCATGTTCCTCATTTGGTCCATCTTAGCTTGAAATTTTTAACAATATCCAGAACATAACAGAAGACAGAATCTGAAATAAATGCTTATATCTAACTATTCGACTCTGAGCCGTGTCCCTTTTGGTTTTCATTAACTTCTCCTTTTCACATAAATGTAAACTTATATAGACATATACTTAATTGAATAGTATAGTATGTTCAAAGTGAATAAAATGAGAAGTCATATGTTTAAGAGGTTTTATTTGTTCATCAAAACAAATGCTTTCAAGTGTCCTTATTTTCTTTTTTTGCTTTTGGCCCTTTGGTGATCTTTCTAGTTGTTAGTTTCTGCCCAAGTTATTCCTAAGGAGGATAGGCCACACACCTGAACACGAAGACATGCAGAATCCATCAGGCCTGCGGGATGTCACACATATTCATAGTTTACTATGCTTCCTTTGACAACAGAAAGAGAAATTTTTTTTGATGCTTTGATAGCTGTGTGTGAGGCAAGGTAACTAATGTCTTAAAGAAAAAGTGCAAGGAAGAGGCAAAAGATGGGAAAGTATGTCCATTTATGTGCCGGATGAGGGTATTAGATTTTCTCCCATGTTCCAGCTATATAATTCACAGTAATAATGTAAATTTTTCTTTATTCATATAAAAGTGATTCATACAATGATAAGATCTATAGATTCCCAGTAACTTTTGACTAAGGCAGTATTCTTTGATACTAATTTTTGGAATGATATTTATCAAAAGAATTGAATTACTTTCTACCAATATGTTGAATAAATCAACCCTGCAATCTGATTGCCCATTCTGACCAGTTTATAGCAAGAATAATATATTGGAGGAAATAATATAAGCAGTTTCTCTCTCTTTCCCCCTCCCCCTTTTTCTCCCTCCATCTCAGATTTCTGGACTCATTGAGAATTTTACTGGCTGCATAGAAGTTATAGAAATCAATAACTGGAAATTTTTTATCCCATCCAAGGCAGTGAGAAAAATTCGTGTGGACAATTGCAGGTAAAATCTGCTAATGATTTTTCAAATACTGGTTTGAATAACCACACCCAAAGGTAGTATTTCCATTTGAAATCATCTAATCAGGGCCAGACTGCATTTCCTTTGTTTTGATGTTGTTTCATACTTACACACTTGATTTTTTTAGAGACTACAGAATATTTATGCTATATCCCAGTTAAGTCGGACCATTTATAGTTCAGTTTCAGCTTTGTGCTACATAAGGCATATCATGTATACCAGCAAATGATCAGTTTGTCTTGATCAAAAAATATCATCTGTCAAAGTGTTTCAAATATAAGCCTTCTGACAGTCATGTATGTGGGTTATTGTTTAGAGTGCTAAAATGTTTCTTTTAAAATGTCACTGTAAAAAAATTGTCATTGTGCTTGAATTTCCATTATTAGTGGCATTCCTTTAAAATAATCTGCATCTGGCTACAGACCTATCTGTGTGTGTGGTGAGGGGTGGGATAGAGGTGAAGTAGAGAGATGGCACATGTGACACAATATTAGGCATACATGCCATTGGTATGAATTAGTTAAAAAAAATTTCCCTGAAAGTTAAGAAAAAAGGATCATTTAGGGAGCTCTGTGGTGCATTGGAAAGGGTTCACACAGGTTAGAGAGGATGGCATGGTGTGGCAGGATGTTTGATGTTAAACATTTGATGTTAAAACACTTAACAGCAGTAACACAATGACTGATTCCACCAAAAAATTTCGAATTATTGAAATCCTTCTATGTACTGTAGTCCAAAGGAAATAAACAGTCACACAGTGACTGTCCTTAAGGAGTTTATAGTGTAGTAGTGGAGATATTGATGAAATATTAAAGTAAATATATAAATAGGAAGTATGCTTTGGGAAAAAAACACAAAAGGCTTTGAGAACTTTACATATTTGAATATTATCAGATCGGCTTCCTTCACAGTTTGAGGGGGTTGTATATATTAAGAAATTAAAGAAATACTTAGAAGGTAAAAGTATTATTCATTCCCCAATGTTTCACCTTTAGGCTACACATTTAAATTATATCTGTGGCACCTATCAAACAATGGCAGACAGGGTGCTTATTTGTTTGTGTTTTGTTTTTACTCAGATGAAAACTTAATATCTTACGTTATACACAATAGATGGGTTCCAGCAATTTTAATATAAATCAAATACTCGTAAGTCCTCATATTTTAACCATTTATTTCTAAATTTTAAAGTTTGCCTCCATTTTTTATTGATTGGAAGTTAGCAACATTCCTAATAATTATTTAACTCTCAGATTTTTTGCTCTCTAGCTTTTCTGTTAAATATCAGTTTGCAACTCATAGTTAAATGAATAATAAGCAGTTACTAGGTCATAAATCCATTGAAAAGGATATAATCCTTTGATAATTTATATAATCATCTGCTAATGTAGCAATTGATAAAATTTTTGCTTTAATTTCATAAAACTAGGACACACTTAACTTTGTAGGAATGAGTATAAAACTGGTGCCTAGGTGGCTCAGTCAGTTGGTTGGTTGCCTTCAGCTTGGGTCATGGTCTCAGGATCCTGGGGATCAAGCCCCACCTCTGGCTCCCTGCTCAGTGGGGAGCCTGCTTCCCCCTCCCCCTTTGCCACTCCCCCTGCATGTGTGTGCTCGCGCTCTCTCTCTCTCTCTCTCTCTCTCGTGCTTTCTGTCAAATAAACCTTAAAAAAAAAAGAATAAATAAAAAACAAAACCGGAAAATCCTTGTGTAACTACTCAGTTACCTGCAAGCCAATTCTAAATATTTTCTTGATCTCTCCTATATAGAAGTCCTATTTTATTGACCTCCAGTGTCATGAATCTGATCTTCATTTTGTATTACTGGTTCTTTAAGCACTATGTATGACTTAATGCTGCTAATGACATTATACCTCCCTATAATATCCAGCACAGCTGTAGACCTATGAAAGGCATTTTGCTTGTAATTAGGGTTAGGGCAAGCAGAGACTATTAAGTTTCTCTGAACATTTACTCTGCTTCTCTCATCAACCCTTAATAGCACTTTTTCTCATTTAGGATGACCTCTCTTAAGAGAGGCATTATACTAGATCAGTCTAGAATGCAGTTTTCTAAGCCCAATTCTGCAAATAATTGGCTGTATGACACTGGGTAAAGTTTAAAAGTTCCATTCGTTAGTCTTATCTGTGAAATCAGAAAAATAACTCTTGCCTCCTAATGTTGTAAAAATGATAAACTTGGACTCTCTTCTTTGCTAAAAGCTCAGTGACATTGGTCTTTGTTTCCAAATTTGCTACCATCTCCAGAAAATTGCATCTTCTAGTCTCTCTTCCAGAACCCTCTTCTCTCTCTGCCCATTGCCCTCATTCACAAGTCTGGCTTCTTCTCAGCATTTAGACTGCAGCTTTACTATGACTGCCTCCAAGAGGCCTTCCTGGACAAACCAAAATGAAGTGAGCTCCCAGCCATGTCTCCCACTCACTGTTTATTTCCATATTTATTTTTATTCTTAACGACACTGACACTGAATATGCTTATTTATGTGTCCATAGGTTTCTTTTATGATTCTCTTCACCAAAATATGTGCTTCTTGTGGGCGTGGACTCTGTAGATCTCTTTTACTTCTATTTCCTCAAGGCCTGCAATAGTAGATGCTAAAAATTTTGCTATATAAAGTATCTTATGATTCAACTGTGATTATTTCTTCCCACAAATTTTTTTTAATTTCATAAGTAACTTTATTTGTGACAATGTAAAATTAAAAAGAAATCTTCATAAACGTGTTCAAATATGGCAAGAATAATGTGAATCAAGAGAAGATAAGTAACATATCTAAGGTCACACAAATAGGTAGTAGTACAACTAAAACTAGTTCTCACACCTTCAATTTCAATCATAATTAACAATGAATAATATTACATATAATAAAACTCTCAAAATAGAAAAGAATATAATGACACAATTTCACATTTGCCTTCATTCAATATGATAATATGGTTAACTAATAAAATATAAGGACTTTGTAATCATGAATGAAAAGAAAGGAGCACTATATTATGGATAAAGCTTGCACTGTAAACTAAAAGACCCAGCTTCTAAACATGACACTGTCCCACAAATTTTTATTATGAATTTTTTTTTTTTCAGATTTACTTTACAGAGTGATTCTCAGACTTTTTGGTCTTTGTACTCTTAAAAAGAGTGCTGTTATTGTTGACTGCAAAGAGCTTTTTTTTAAAGTGGAATATACTTAACAGTATTTACCATATTAGAAATAAAAACTAAGGAAGTTTAAATATATTTATTACTTAACTCATAAAACAAAAAGATAAATTCATTACATATTAATATAAATAATATAGAATAGCGTATTTTTAGGAAAAATATCTATGCTTATTAAAACATAAAAATGATGAAAAGATTGGCAGTTTCACTTTTCTTGCAAATATATTTATTGTCAGCCTTCATGAAGACATCTGAATACTTATATGTGTTTCTGTATTCAATCTGTACAATAATTATTCTGCTGAAATACTTGAAGAAATTCTGGCCTCATACATGTATGTTTAGAAATGATAGTGATATTTAATAACACTTTTAGATAATTAGGAATGCTATTCTTTGATATTGCCCAAAACTTGGTAAGTAATAGATTCTTAAAGGTTAGTTGCAATATGGAATGTGAAACCTGATGACCAATTAACCTGTTATACTCTGTTAAATTAAAATCCATTGTTCTTTTTCATATTTTGATTGGATCTTTTACCCATGCACAATTTCGTACTATTGATTGGAAAATACTGGCTTATTGAGTTATGCAGCTATCAAAAATGTCAACACATATCAATATAAAATATCAAAAAATCCTGTGACTAATATATAATATTAATTAATAATATATAATATTATTATACTATTTCCTATATATGTGTGTGTGTGTGTGTGTGTGTATTTTTTTTTCTTTTTGAGAGAAAGAGAGAGAGAGAGTGGAGAGGGGCAGAGAGAGGAGAGAATCTTGAGCAGGCTCCAGACTCATCACAGAGGCCAATGTGGGGCTCAGTCTCAGAACTCTGAGATCATAACTGGAGCCAAAATCAAGAGCCAGAGACCCAACTGACTGAGCCACTCAGGTGCCCCTCCTATATATTTTAATAGTCACCTATGTTTTTAATAAGTAAATAGTATATACCTAAGGCACAGGACTATTATCATATATGGCTTATGTCTTATGCCCAGAGTGTGAAAGACTGATCATTTAGGCTCTGGTGACAGATATTAATATAGTATGACATCAAGAACAGCTAAATTGGTTTTCCATCTCTAGTTTTCTGCCCTAGAGAAGTGCAGAGATATGATCTGATAACACTTTGGATGACCTTCTTAAAAATAATAAAACAGGGGCACCTGGGTGGCTCAGTGGCTTAAGCCTCTGCCTTTGGCTCAAGTCATGATCTCAGGGTCCTGGAATTGAGCCCCACATTGGGCTCTCTGCTCAGCAGGGAGTCTGCTTCCCCCTCCCTCTGCCTGCCTCTCTGACTACTTGTGATTTCTCTCTCTCTGTCAAATAAGTAAAATAAAAAATTTTTAAAAAAACAATAAAACATTGAAAAGCAAGGAAATGGACGTCTAAAGGGATGATAAATATGATGGAATTACTTTTAAGTCAGTTGAAAACAAATTCATGTACATATACCTATATAGATAGATCTTGAAACATATCATTGAGTGAGAGAAAAAAAAAGATAGCTATAGCAACATATCCTTTGTGTGCATTTAAGAATCTGCCTTACATATAAACAACTGACTTACTTTTATTACACATTCTCATATATCTCCATGTAATATTAAGTAGTTTAGATTATTTTTACCCTGTCTCCTTTAAATACTTACTATTTCTGAAGGAATGTGTTGTATAATGGGGAGAAGAATTCAAACAGAAAGAAATGATTCAGAAACAAAAAAGCATCAGAGATCATTTTCCACTTTTTAATTCTTTATTCACAAATCCTCTCAATAGGATA